TATGCAGCAGGAGACTATTTGTATCTCAGCCATTGCGCGTGCTGTGCTGCGCTGTGAGTAATATGCGCATGCGCTAAAACAGTGCGCACGCGTGGGTAATGCTGCTCGATTCCAGAAACGTAGGAGTCGACTCTGACTCAGATGATAGAAATTTACGGAGTCGATTCTAAGAATCCAAAAATCGATTCCACACCAAACTTAAAATAAGTCACACGACGGCTTTCAGATAAGCCAGCAAGGTTACTGAAGATGAATTAATTATTTTTTAAAAAAATATATATATATATTTCAATTTGATTCCAAATCTTTAGAGTCGAATCTCGATTTACAATGCCTGGAATCGGAGGATTTTTTTTGGAATCGACTCCCGGATCTACGCTAAACGGACAACTAGCTTTCTGATATTGATTCTGAGTCTAATGAAGGGAATCTACGGAGTCGATTCCATACACGCTTCTCTCGATTCCAAAACTAAAATAGGTAACAGAAAAGGAGGTCTTGTAAAAGAAATAAACAGTACAGTATTAATTTCCGATGCCTGGAATCGGAGAATCGCCTTTTTGGAGTCGACTCCCGGATCTACGCTAAACAGATAACTTGCTTGCTATTTATTAGCTATTGAAAATGCAGCGCATATTTAAGCACCTTAATTAGCGTCGGTCGTTGTTATGAAAGTGTGTTTAAAAAAAATAAAGAAAGAACGAAAGCGAAGGACGTAGTGCATTAATAAAATATTAAAAATCTAGTAGAAGTATTGTATTTACTTCCGGGTGATTTGCAAGGTATTTCCGGTGTCTTGTCAACAAGTCCGAATTTCTATATCATGCGCTTGATTCACTGCTTTATCAACATTTAGGGTTGCTTTTGGTTTAAAGTCTGCGAGACTGTGACTTAGAAAGAATAAGGAGAAAATATCAGTGCTGAATATTCCGTTAAATCATCTGGTCTGTTGCTACTTTGCTAATAATCATCAGTAATGAGAGTCTCACATTAGTACAGACGTCTACTGTTATTATAACAGAGATCATCATCAGCAACAGCTTCTTCTTCTGCTCAGTGATCTGTGATTATTCACTTCACACAATGACCTCTGGAAAGCCTAACATGAGTGAAAAGGTCCTGCAGTATGAATCCTTTATCAATGATGTACTGAGGCGAGATTTACAGTAAGTATACAGTACAATATACAGTGTGTTTTTCCAGCTTCAGTGAATGTGCATATGTCTTAAACTTTTCTTCCTGTACCATCATTTTCCTTTATTTGTTTTAGGAAGGTTTTGGAGCAAAGAGATGGCGTGTATGAAAAAATAGCCCAATACCTTCAACTGAAGAATACAATTAAAAGTATACAGGTACATTATATATTATTCTTTTACTCTATTCCCATTTCTCCTCCGATTACCTTCACATCAGTAACCGATATCTTCACCTCTTTCAGGAAACTGGCAGCAAAGAACTGAAGACGGATGTTGATCTCGGCTGTAATTTCTACGTTCAGGCTCATGTGTAAGTGATGTTTCTTGTCCACATCTTAAATATAGCTTGGATGGAATCAGATTGTGTTATGGGATCTGTGTAAATTGACCGAGAGTGAGTGTCTTCTCGCCAAAAAAAGCCATGCAAACGATACTATATATACACCTCATATCTTCAGTGTAAATGAATTCCTTTGACATTTATTAGAACCGCTTGCTGTAAGGTTTGAAGTTGGGCTTGATAGTTCATATCGATGGACCCGGCTATAAACACAAATTCAGAAATAAAAAGATATTTTACTCAGTGGACAGTGGATAGATTTTAACCAACCAGACTTCTTGCGAAAAAACTGTGATGAATTTACTGGTTGCACATTTGCACTATTTGTCCATATAGTACACAGTTATAGAAGGGATTTATTCATAATTGCACTATCCGTTAGCACCCAGATGAGGACGGGTTCCCTTTTGAGTCTGGTTCCTCTCAAGGTTTCTTCCTCATGTCGTCTCAGGGAGTTTTTCCTCACCACCGTCGCCTCTGGCTTGCTCATTAGGGATAAAGTCACACATTTACATGTGTATATTTTGAATCCATTTATTTCTGTAAGGCTGCTTTGTGACAATGTCCATTGTTAAAAGCACTATGCAAATAAAATTGAATTGAATATTTTATCTCCTTTAAAATATTGTCTATATTTTATTGCTTTGTGTGAAAACTCAGCTGATCCCTGATACTGAGTTTGTTTGAGTGGAAGGCAATATAAGGGAGCAAGCAGAGAGAAAAATATCTAATCACACAATATCTGAAGACATTCAGTGATGCATTATGATGTATAGGTTTGCTATAAAATAAAACTGAGTTCACTGAGTCTGATAGATAGATAGATAGATAGATAGATAGATAGATAGATAGATAGATAGATAGAAAGATCACTTTATTAATCCCAGAGGAAAATTCAAAGCTTACAGCAGCAATCCAAAGCAAGCAAGAGTAATCAGAATAATAAAACCAAAAGGTAAACAGAAAAATATTCAGTAAAAAATATAATAATAATAGTAGTATTGGATATAGAGTGAGTATAGTATAGTATGCCTTCTGAGTAAATGTGAAAAATGTATTAACAGTATAAAAGTACAAAGCATTTTAAGGTCTTATAAATATTTAAAGCTGAAAATGAAAAAAAAAATCTATAAAAATTAATATTTTATAAAATGTTCGTGTCAGATTGACTGCTTCTAGAGTTGTGTTTCTTAAAAAAAAAAAACCTCAACGATGTGCTAAAAAGATCTCACAATGCCTATGATATCTCATAACAGTGCTTTGTCACAAACTATAAATCCATAATTAAATCATATCGTCTTATTGCTTGTACTTTACTCCACTGGATATGACAGAATGTTTACCAGCACACGGGTGTATGTTATCAGGTCATGTAACAGGGTGTAAAATGGTGCATAATCTTTACACTAAATTGCAGCTAAAACCACAGGGATAATCCAGGAGTAATGAAATCTAGAAATCGCATTATATTCTAGTAATAACGTCTCACTGATTTTGCATTTCCTCCCATTTCAGGCCTGATACTTCCAAAATCTTCGTTGCTGTTGGATATGGATTTTTTCTCGAATTGACTCTTTCAGAAGCACTGACCTTCATAGAGAAGAAAACCAGCCAGCTTACAGAGTAAGATCTTCTTTCTTCTTCATCAGTGATATTTATTCTCGTCCATGTGAATCATTCGTCTTTTTTTTTTATTTGTTTGCCGCAGGTACAGTGAGGTTCTTACCAAAGATGCAGCAAAGATCAAAGCACACATCCGCATGGTTTTGGAGGTAGATCTTTTCACTTCGTTTTGGATGAAACTTGTTTATTATCTCTGATGAATGTTATGAGTAAGACGTCTTTTTCCCCGCAGGGTTTAAGGGAGCTACAGGGTCTGAAAGATCTTCCTGAGACGACGAGACGGGAGGTGTTTTAAGTGCCTCACAGCGGCGCACTGACATCCTTTCTGCCTTTTAATACACAGCGCACGGCTTCGGCGTGTTTGGGTTTTGTACTGTAAAGTGATATGTATGTCAATGCCACTTTTTTTTTTTTTTTTTTT